CCTTTTTATTTAAGTATATTACTTATTATAATATCTTTATTTAAAGGTAGTTATTAGGGAGGCTTTTTTTAAGGGGTAAGTAGTATTTACTTAGTTAGGTTTCTTTTTAGTATAACTAGGTTTTTAAATAACTAAAAGCTTTATAAGTTATTATAAGATAGTTAAATATTATTTACCTTATTATAAAGTCTTAATAAAAGTAGTAAGTTAATTCTTATGTCTCTAATAATTCTTTTTACTATATAAAGGGTGTCTTTAATCTAAAAGGGGTTATTAGCCTAGCTAATATCTAACTAAAAGCCTTATTACTAGTTATTACTAAAGTAGTATAGCGTGTCCCTATTAAATTCTATAGTTATAAGGGATTATATATTATTATAAAGGCTTTAAGGTAGCTACTAAGTAACCTTATAGGTTAGGTTTTCTTAAAGCTATATATAGAATTACCTAAGGTTAGAGATTTATTTAGGTTAGAGCGTTCTTAGTTTACTATATCTTTAAGCCCTTTACTTTTATTAAGGTGTATATATTTCTTTACTATATAGTAGTAAAAAAAAACTTAATAAAAATAATAAAGATAGTAAGAGTAATAAAATAGTATAAATTAAGATAGTTATACTACTACTTAATATAGCCTTCCTAGTAGCTATTATAGTTCTAATAGGATAAAGCTAGGCTATAGTAATATTATAAAGTAATATAGTATAAAGGTAAAGCGTAATAGTAAAGCAGTAAAGTAAGATAAATAATAATAAGGAGCTAAATAAATAATATAGGATAAGATAAGTAATAGATAGTAGGTGTATTTATAGTTAACCTTCTTTTTATAAAGGGTTACCTACTAAAGGGATATATACCTAGAGTATATATAACGTATTATATATATGTTAGGTATCTAGTCCTTATTATCTATCTGTCTCCTAACTACAGGCACTTACTACCTTATCTTATAATAATTGGTACCTTTACTAGGCTTATAAAGTATTTAATCTAGCTCTTCTTAAGTAACTTATTAATATATATCCTTAATTCCTTTAGTTTTTTTTTAGCTAATAAGTAGATAAGGCTAAATAGCACTTTTACCTCTAGCTTTAAATTAATTATATATAAGTAGCCCTTATTACTTACTAGCTAGGCTACTAGGCCTATATTAAATATATATACTTATTCGTTATAGGCCTTTAGTAAGGTAGCCTTTATTTTTTTATCTTATTTAGCTTTTACCTCTTCTCTTTAGTTATAATAAGGTATCTTTAGTGCTCCTTTATCCTCTCTATATTATAAGTAGTAAATTATTAGTTAATAGGCTAGAATAGCCTTTAACTTCTTATATACTTTCTTAATTTCTTACTTACTTTAGATAAGTTAGAGGTAGTTTTTTCTTAGTAAGTATGTTTAACTAATTATTATTTACTTTATATTTAGTTATATTACTTATCCCTAAAGGATCTTTAGAATAGTATTATACCTAGCTATATTACTAACTTAGAAGGTGTAGCTTTACGTTCTTAAGACCTTTATATTATTTATAACTTCTATTACTACCTTTTTTATTTTAAAGTTTAAGGCTTTACTTTTTTATATACCTTAAAGTATTAGGCCTCTCTAGCTTACTTCTACTAGTATCTTTATATATAATATCCTTTAGTATAGTATATTTTTATTTATACTAAAATTAATTAATACTCTTTTTTTTTATATACTATTTATTTTAGTATAAAAATCTACCTTAAAGTAGTAATATAGTCTTTTATCTTAAGAGAGCTTAATACTATTAACCTTTATTAGTACTAAGGCGTACTATCTCCTTAAGTGTTATAGTTATTTATACTTATAGTACTTCTTTTTATTATACCTAGCTAATTAGTACTTAGGCTTCTTATAGTTATAATAAGTAAGTAGTCTTTAGGTCCCCTCTAGCTAAAGTGTTATACTTTTTTTTTTAACTTTTAGCTTTAATATAAGTATACTTACTAGTGTTATAGCTATTAGTATTATATATATACTAGTAGCTTTAGTTAAAAAAGTGTTTATAGTTATTAGTTATACTACTACTTTTTAGTAGCTTTTTTTTTTAACCTTACCTTAGCTATCTTCTTAATACCTCTCTTATATAGGTCTTAATAAGTGTTTTTACTTTTTTTACTATATTATCTAACTTCTAGTAAGTAGCTAGTAGCCTCTTAGTAAGTATATAAGTTCTTAGGTCTAGAAGCACTTAGTTTAAAATATAGACTACTTACTACTTCTTTATTTAAAAGTTAAAGCACTTTTTTTAAACTATTTTATACTTATTAATAAATTATTAGTATAACTAGCCTAAAGCTTATTATATAGTATTTATCTTTATAGTAGTACTAAAAGCTTATATATTATTATTAGTAATATTTATTTTTAGTTAGTTTTTTATAACTTCTTAAGGTACTTTATTAATCTTACTTTTATAATAAAAACCTATATACTTCTTTTATTTATATACTAAGTTACTTTTTAGTATAGTATTAGTATATTTTACTTTATTATTATTAGTTATAAACTTATTTTTTACTATATTAAAATATATTTCTAATTAAAATAAGAATTCTTATAGTTTATTTTAGCTTTTTTTTTTATACCTTAAGGTAGGTAATCTTTTTAAAAGTATATTAGTATAAAGTTACTTAGCCTCTAGTTAAAGATTAGTAGTTATTTTTATTTCCTTTTATATATTTTTTACTAATATACTACTTTAAAAGGCCTTAATTTAATTAATTATTTTCTTTTTTTTACTTTTTTTACTTCTTCCTCTAAAAAAGCCTTTAGCTTTTTTTCTAATAGCTTACCTAAGTTAATAGTATACTACTTATTTACTAATATAAACTTAGTTATATTAGGCGTTAGTTATTTTATTATAGTGCTTTTTTATTACTAGGCTATAGTTTAAGATTTAGTAAGCACTATTACTACTTTAGTAGTTAATATACCTAAAGATAAAAAGATATTAAAATATATTAAAAGTAGGGATAGTATTAAGTAAAAAAGTTAGTAATAAGTGTAATTAGGGTTTAATTATAATAATTATTCTAATATACCTCCTCTAACCCCTATTTTCTATAGAGTTTTCCCCTTTTGTTATTCCTTTAGTAACTAGTTTATCTAGTCCTAGTCCCACTCCAGTGCCCCCCTAGGGCCCCGCTCCGGGCACCCGACAAGGAGCAAGGAACTTTGCAGGGTTGGACGATTGTAGACAATGTAAGAGACGTGGTTCTCTAGTTGATCTTAATCAAAACGCGCCGGGTCAACACTAGAGGACTAGCCGGCGGTAGTTGAATGGCGTCATGGCTTCAGTTCAAAGGAGATAATATAACGATTCGAGGGCGGTATCGCATGTATCCGATAGGAGAAATCGATGGCCCTTGTAGTTAGCTGCTGTTTGGTAGTGGATGGGGGGAGGGGAGGTGGCCAGGGGTTGATTGTCTTGGGAAGCAAACACGTTGGTTGATCCCTGCTCATGACCGGGTGGGATGGCTGCACGGACAAACAGGATTTCCTACGTGCCTACGTAATATACTAGACGATTCAGCAAGTAGTCGTTGGTGGATCAGTTGGACCCATTGGACCATGCGGTTGCAATGAGGTGTCACCGTGGAGGGAGGGGCAAACAAGCCCAATACACCATGGCGTAGTCCCATGTGGAAAGTATTTGTATCTTTCCATCACCATGTGCTAATTCCTTTACTAAGGCGAGTTTCAACATAGGACCAGTTGCGGCACGGTCCATCATGACTCTGCTTTGATACCAGACCCCCCAACGAAAAGTAGCATCAATTACTCGATTCTGAGTTAGAAGATGTAGCAAGAGGCACAATGGACCCGCAGTGTTAACATCAAGCGATGCATGAGGCACGTGCGAAAAGCAGGGCATTTGGGCTTCGTCACCATAGCCAACTGATGTAAGGGATATCCTCGCACCAGCAGCTGGCCAATGATGGCGAAAACGGCATTGACCGGTGTCGGCATTGCGATGCTTGTGTTGAGATGGTGACTCTCATGTTGGGATTATTCTTGTTTCGTTATCAGGATAAGGCACCAGATATCCCCAAGGTCACAATGTATGGCGATTAATTAAATATCATAGAATGTCACACGCCGTACTTGTATTAGTTTGTTGATGTGGCTATGTGGAAATGCATATGCCGGCAGTGCGTGTATGTATGCCTTCAGACCCACCCCAAACAGCCATACCGCCGCGGATGTTGTAGTGACTTGTGGGTTCTCATTGTGCCGGTGCAAATTTTTGCCGTGGTAGCGTCCTCGAAGATATGAATGAAGACACGATCACACCGATGACTGGAAACATATTGACGATCCGCCTGAGAGGCTTTGTAGACGGCCTCGAATGACCGGGATATTAGAGCCTGAGTCGAAGAAGAAGGGCAGACGCGAGGGCATGAACCAGGCTCGTCCAAGGTTATCTAACCTCGGGGAGGCAACGAAGGGTAGGCCATCGCCGACCCGGAAGAACGGGATCTCGGGCTATGCGAATACACCATGCTGCCGGTTATACGGAATGCAACCGGCCAAAAGTCCCTCTAGTTAGCTCAGGGAAGCTCGCAAATCCTATGCTTTCTCTGCTCCAGCTAGACTGAATGTCTATTGCGTGTTGCTGCTTTGTTGTCTGTGAGACAGACGATTACCGGTTCCTCGGAACGACTCCTGACATCAGCGATTAAGGGATGGGTAGCGATCATGTGCAACTAGCACTCCAAGGCCCGGGGTGACCCATCTCGCTTACTCCTCAAAGGTACGAGTCGAGATATCAAAGGCCCTTTCCAGACAATTCGCCTGCAATGTCGCTGTCTAGTGTCCAGATATGTCTGCGGCTGATGGACGCATGACAGATGATTACTGAGTTGGCCACTCTGCAATGTTGGCCGCCAAGTAAAAGTCGCACGCCGATCGCCCTCTGGATAGCAGGTTCCGCAGGGGGTGAGTTAGGTCAAGGTAGGACAGCCCTTGTCTCATCCTGTGCCAGACTCGTTGTCGGCGTCCTGCGGCAGTGGCTGGAGGGAAGGGGCGCTCGATCGCGGTCGTCGTCCTCTCCTTGCCTTGGGTCGTTGAGAGCTGGTCGGGGCGTCGTTTGGAGAAGGCTCCCGAGTACTGAGACGCATATTAGTCCGGGCTCTTTCTGATTTCGTTCATCTTGTTCCCAAAGGGGAGCAGACGGGGGAAGGGGAAGGGGGTTAGCGACGCACTCCTTGTCCTTGAAACGTCGACGCTTGATCATCTGTAAGGCCTCTTTCCGCATATTGCAGGAGAAGTGCTCGTTGAAGTCGAGAGTGATGAGCTCCCACATGCAATGGCGCTTGGTGTGCCGGTAGTGGTCGAGGAGGAAGAAGAGGTACTCCTCCTGGTCTTGGCGTTTGGCGTTGGCACTAACGCTGGGTACGGAGCGGTCCGAGACCTGTTGCGAGTTGGCATGACTCGGAGAAAAGTAGCCCAAACAATGGATGCCCATGCGTGAGCAGTTTTGGCCTGTTGGTTGGGTCATTAATTCATCATATCACAGACGTGGACGGTTTAGAGGAAAGCAGACTCACACGAGGGTCGCCCTTCATCGCAGGGCATCTTGCGAATCTGACACGTCTTGCAGCCAGGTTCTGTGTGCTGGATATGAGGATTGTGCAACTGGGGCCGGGTGGTCATGAGCACATGGGACGGATTTGGACGCGCCACAAAGGCAGACGTTTCCAGTGGTGCCGAAGCGGGAGAAACAGGAGCGGAATTTGTGATGGGAGGGTTGAGTGCATCTAGAGATGGCGTTGGCGGGTGACTGGAACGCGACGAGGTCATGTCCACGTCGTCGTCTGGGTCGCACAAGACGTTCTGCAGGGCCATGACGGAACATCTGTTGGGCTTGGAGGTGTCGGATCGCGGTGCTGAGGTGACGTGGTTGCTGCTGTTACCGGTACTGGTGAAGCTAGAGCTGCTGCGGTTCCTCTCATGGTTGCTGAAGCTGTCGAAGCTGGTGGGATGTGATGGGGTTGGTGAGGGCGACGGCGGGAGGCCGAAGGCGCCATGGCGGGCGATGGAGGAGGGGGAAGCAGCTGGAGCCGCAGCCAAGCGGCGGTAGTAGGTTGATGGCGGTGGCAGAGAATGAAGGGGGCCGGAGGGATAAGGTTCGAGGCGGCCGGCGACAGGGGCGGCGTCATATCGCGACGGGCGAGACAACGTCAACGGCATGGAGGGGAGCGAGGCGAGAGGAGGGTGAGGATGAGAGAGAGGAGGAAGAGTAGCAGCTCCGGTAGCAGAGGAGACGGCGGAGGCGGCGGCGTCGGAAGCAGGCCGATGAGTCTCGGAGACAGCAGCGGAAGCGGAAGCGGAAGCGGGAGCAGGAGCAGGAGCAGAAGCAGTCCCGGTGGCAACAGCAGCAGCAGCGGCGGCGGCGGCGGCGGCGGCGGCAACAGTAGGAGCCGTAGTGACGGCAGCCGGCCGATTGTCGGTTGGGACGGTGACGGCGACGGCGTTCGCGTTGGCGGCGGGCATCCGCATCGTGTCTCACTTTTTTTTTCCCAGTTCCAACAGTCCACGTCCACACACACACACACGCACTCTCCTCTCTCACTCTCTCTCTCTGCGCTGCACACTTCCGCCGGGTGCGCGAGCGGGCGAGTAAGGGGGAACCCAAGGGGGCGGAGACGAGACGGGAGGACTTTTGACACGTGGAGGAGGCGGCTCCAGCCTTCAGCCTCCCTTCCAAGCAGAAGCAAAGCAACAACAACAATAATTATTATTGCTGTACGGATACGGATACACCAAGGAGGTAATTAAGCTAGTTTGGCTAGGTAAGCTAAGCGCCCACTTGGCTCCTCTTCCTGGCCCTCTCTCTCTCTCTCTCTCTCTTTCTCTTTCTCTCTCTCTTTCGCCTAAGCCTCGTCGCGTCTCGCCTCGCCTCCGCTCTCTCTCTCTCTCTCTCTCTCTCTCTCTTTCTCTCTCTCTTTCTCTCTCTCTTTCTCTCTCTCTCACACACACACACACACACACATTCTCCCTCTCATTTTCCCTCTCTTTGAGCCATTTGTCCAGGTCATGACCGTAATTGGGCTTGACTGGAGCGGTGGACGGAAACATGGGTATGTTCGGGGGAGGGAGGGGTGATGGTGGTGTGGGTTTTCCAAAGATCGAACAAGGGGGTAAATTAAAGGCGCCAGCACCAACACACACCAACAGGCTATGCACGCAATGGGCGGGAACACAGGGAAATTGCCCCGTCCTCCATGGTCCCCCTCCCTCTTCTCTCTCTCTATCTATCTATCTCTATCTATCTTCCCCCTCTTTCGTTCCCTTTCTCCTATCTCTGTTGTGTGTGGTACGGATATCGCCTAAGTATTTGTTCCTCTTCCTCCGTCTCTCTCTCTCTCTCTGCCTGGTCACGGAGGAACATGGACAAGGTATGACGGTCTGGACGCGTCTTTCTCCTTTTCTCCTCTCTCAACACGAAGTACGTATCCAGAATGAATCCACTCTCGGTCATAAGCTCAAGGATTTCCCCCAATCATGTCGTTGGCGGTTAGGAAGCCGCCCACTCTCCTGACCAGCGACACGCTTTTATTGGGTTCCCGACTTTGCCCATCTCGGCCAAGTCCGCCAACGGCTAATTGCCCGTCACACCTTCCTTTCCTGTTTTTTCTGTCTCGTCATCCTCCTTCTCTCTCTCTCTCTCTCTCTCTCCGTCCCTTCGCCACCCCCTAAACGCCCCTCACGTGACATGGATCAATGTTTTTCACCTACCATTCGGAGTGGAGGGGAGGGGGGGAAAGATGGTGAGCTGACTAATCAACGCTCGCTCTGTGTGTCATTTCCATTGTGTTGTTCGCTGCCTCGTCCCCTCAGCCCAACCCACAGCCGCGCTAAACGTTCCTTTGGGAACGTCCCGGAAATCTTGCAGTTGAGAAGAAGAAAAGAGAGAGGACAGTCTGATACTTTGGGTTGCAAAGCGTTCCGATGCATCTGATGTACCTACCGACGGGACCCAACTTTTTACCCGTTGTCTCTCTACCTTGTCAAGCTGTGACACAAGGTTGCCCTGTCATCTTCAACGTTAAATCCTCTCACGACTGCCATGAACCATTCATCGGCATTCGATTGCAATTTACATATTTGAGCATGGCAAAGTGAAGCGCCATCCCCAAACACCCCAATTGGGAGCGGCTGGTGATCTCGGCAACAGTGCACAATCGAATCCTCCATAAGTTGACCCTCCCTGCTGACAAGCTGCTTGGGGGAAACGGTCTGCCGCTATGCCAAAACCTGGGCCATGCGTCATCCACTTCATCTTTCATCTTTGAAGCATAAGTTTGCTGACGGCCCGAAATGACATCAGTTGCCTTCCCGACAGGCGTCAATGACATTGCTTTATTACATCGTAGAAGACGCCTTTTCATCAATAGACTCTTCCTGCTTGTGCATTCACTCACATCTTTGTTGTTAGTGTGCTCAGTCAGGCCGCATTTGCATGCAATTAAACGTTGTGCAGGCTGTCATTGAAGCATCTAGCCCGGCATAACTCACCACAACTGTCGTCGACACATGTCAACATCATGCCGCTTCCAGGGCATGTATAGAGCTAACAACCAAAGCTGCAGTGCAATTGAGCCCTCAGCAGCGTTAAACTGATTCGTTTGACTAGATGTTCGTGCCGATCAGTCAGGTGGGGATTCGTTTTAGAATCGATGACATCAGATTTTGTTTGAAGCCTCATAATGTATCATGATTTGAGAATGACTCTTCTAGCTGCTAGGACACATGGCTTACTGGATATTCATCATCGTCATTGGCCACTTTTGATTGCATCCAAATCTCTCATCACGTTCATCTCATGGACACTCCAAATATTGGGGGCCATGTATCCAATGAGGAAAACCGGAAGGCCGGTGCATTTCCTCTGAAGTGCCTCCACTGCCTCGTGAAATGTCACGAGTTAGAGCACACAGCAGGACATGTAAGAACAGGACCAAGAAAGTATTATTCCTATGGAAGTAGGGGTGCAAAGGAAAGTTTCTATATATAGATAAGAAGGAGAGTAATGTAATGAGTCAAACGCCACGTCATATGGCACAGGATGATTCACCTGATGGGTGATGTACGAAGCTATCGCGACATAAACTATGTGTCTTCTGACAATTGAACCTACGCCACCATTATGCGGTTGAAGATTTTGGTTTGGGATGCATCAGCTCATCATCGAAATCCATATATATGGTGATCTATCAAACTAAGGCTATACTGAAGCCATACCATTAAGACCGTCATTGAATAGGATTTGTAGTGCCATGGCGTGTGCCATGGCGTTAGCAGTACGCCCTTATCAATGTAGCGATTGAGACATAAAAGGTATGAATCACCCAACATGCTGCACCATAACATCCAAAACGGGCTTCTTGGCTTCACAGCATGAGGGATCACAAGCCGGCATGCCTCTAATCCCTCGAACCTTTCGGAGTACCGCCCATTGGCTGATTTAGGAAAACTCCGAGTCGTCACTGGCCCGACATTAGGCAGACCATACACTACGGCTTGGATTTTGGGGCCAGGTCGGTAAACCGTGACCTCTGCTCACTCAGTCACACCCAGTTTGCAGGTATCCCTAAAGCACCAATGTCTTTGTAGCTCGCCGGCATATCCACGGCAATTCGCTGAACTGGACCCTTGCATTCCTACTCTGATATAGGTATCTGAACCGGCAGTGATGTTAGAGACGCTCCAAATGCTCAATGATATCACATAATCGTGCTTTCTCTTAGTATTCGCAGACCTAGGCGTAACTGCCATGGACAAGAAAATGGAGCCCTTGATACATGCACGTTACCCACAATTGATGGACATAGCTTAGAAGTCACACTTACACGGTCATCATAGAAGGCCCAAACGAACAGCGAGCAACCAGTCATGAAGACCTCAACTATTACCATGCTGTCCCGGTTGGCGCTTTCTAATTGTGAGGTTCCGGATGACTTCGTCTCCATATCTCCTTCGCCGCTCTTTGAGCCCATGGGCTCGCTGCTTCAGAGATCACCCCTTCATCAACGTGCTTGTGGTAGGCAAGCAAGCCAACAACTCTTACTATCAGCCAGCATATGTTGTCAATATTGAAAAGCACTTCGAGATACAGGGCGGGATCTATATAGCCAGTGTCAAGGACTATTGTGCCATCGAAGGAGTGTTGAAAATCAAGTTGGAACGGCCTTTCTCCTACTTGATTCCACCTTGGAGAGTTATTATACTTCCACTGGCCGGGCCGTATTTATCCATTGCTTTTAAATACCTCACGCAATTGGAGATGTGCCAACCGGTGTTTTCATCTCTCGCTGCTTGAGTTGGCGAGAATGCCGATGTCAACGAAGCAAGCTTCCAACTAATGGGCCAAGTTTGCACTCAAAAGTTGCTGAAGTTGTCGAAGGGTATCGACTGTCATTGTAACATTAACAACCTCAGACACCGCCAGGCCATTGGACGTTGCTACATCGGGGTTTGGATAGTACCAGCAAGCAATGGCAATGATTGCATACACAACCTAGAGTCATCAGCGGTTGCAATCCGCATGGCATTCTCGGCCATTGCAGTATAACTTACCACAAGTAAGGCCCCTTCAAGCCAGTTTGACTCCCCATCCCGCAGGAAGTTCCCGACGACAATAATTGAGAGAACGAGCAGCACGATCATGAATATCTCAAAGTTTAGATCCATGGGCTTCCCGAGCGCCCAACCTGCAAGAACAACAAGTGGGCCATTGAAGAGCGCAGTTTGGATTGAAGGAGCGAGGCAATGATAAAGTGCCACATTGATAACGCCATCTGCATAGGATCGAGATTAGTATATTCCGGTCCGCTTAAAGATTGTGATACAGGGGCCGAGAACAGCCAAAATAACACTCACCCCAAGCCTCATCAACGGCCGTCAGGTGCTCTGCGGCTTTTTCCACAAGAGGTAAAAGGATCAACCCCAGAAACTGGTCCGGGATGCCACTGTGCACAACGTGTTCGATTCCCTGGACCAAGAAGATCAAAAGCAGCGTCACAAGTACGAGTGATATGGCGAGGGCAATCGCAGTCTCAGTCATGGTGAACTTGGGCTTCTGCATGTCCGCTTCACGGTCCACATCATGGTGCTCGTCTGCTTCAATTACTTCGTCAAAAATGCTGTGCTGACTACTGGCCTGGTACCATATATACAGCAGAAAGGCAATGATGAGAGCAATAGAGGTTGCCCGACTTATCTGTAGGACGTCGGCCTGAAGAGTACCGTGGGTGAACTTTTCGCGCATTACCAACAGGCCAGGGAATTCCGGCATCGTCTCGGACTTGAGGGCCGAATAAAAGGCACTGGGGATGAGAAGTCCAAAGGCGGCAACCAGGAGAAGGCCTGTACCGACCTCGGAAACAATGGCGTGGAATTTCTGGCTAGCATGACGGATACCCCCAGCGAAGAAGCATAGGCCGAGACAAAGCAGCAGGTTTGTCAAGATACTGCCAAGAATGGCGGCTTGGATGATGGGGATGAGATTGCCGTCATCGCCATTCTCCACGGAAGATGACGAGTCATGTTGCGAGATGAGTACGATGAAGAGAATGATCTCGACGATGGAGCCGAAGGTCGTCTCAATCAGGATGCCAGCTACCTTTGGCATCTTTCGGGCAAATTCCTGCCCTGCGAAGCCCAGAAGATTGGCAGAGGGTACGACAGCTACGTAGGCGGTCGCAAACTTCCAGAGGTGCAGCCCAGGAAAGAGTTGGAGCACAATGGCCACCAGAACGATGGGCCAGAGCACATTGACTAGCATAGAGGCAGTACACGAGCTGCGCCATAAGACATTCAGGAAGTGCCGCAGGTGGAAACCACTTCTTCCGCTTTCGCCCTCGTGGGCAATACGACTCGATATGGATTCATGGACGGCACGAAACGCGGTGGTCGGGAGAAGTGGGGTTGACTCGTGGCTATGCTCCATGGAACAGTTACGGGCCGCTGACGGTGGCGGGGCTTCGTGGCTGTCTGTCATGCTGTTGAGGCAGGGTTCGTCCTGGCAGGCGTTAGCCCGAAATGAGGCAGAGGCGGGGATGGGGGAATGAGGCGCATACCTAGATGGGAAGAGGGTGTGAACAAGAAGATTGAGAGCTTCGTCAAGGTTGATAAAGGAAAGGAAAAGGAAACGAAAGCGAGTTTGTCGGGTTGAACCAGGATTCAGGCGATGACTGATCATCGACATTCAAAAGGCTTGGCATTCGCACCGCTTGTGGAACGGTGAAATGATCGTTGCTCAGAGGCACTCCGTGAAGTATTAGCATAATTACATGGCTGGCTGGTGCCACAACGATGCTAGTCCTAATCCGTAGCGTGGCCTTGCCAAGTGCTTGGCTTTCTTGTACCAGTGATGAGGAACATGTCTTGCATCTTGAATCACGCGAGAGTGATTATCTAGTTCACCATTTGACAAGAGAGTACCTTTGCGGCACTTCTGTGGTTCACGGTACATTTTTTTGAATCATGACATTTGCTTGGCTGTTCCTGCTAAATTACACATGACGCCTCAGTCACCTGATTCTCGCCGGTATAGGTACCGTAAGCTCTCGTTAAATCGAATAACTGCTAGTGAGCAAGCTAACGGCAAGGGGTATCGCGGCCGCTGTGATAGGCATAGTGTGATGGCAGAAGCAGGGGTCTGAAGGTGGCAAAAGCACGGGTTGATCATTTACGTCAGCGGCAAGTTAGGTGGCAAGGGCCAGCAAATTGACTTATGATTGGCAGTTAATCCAGTGACCGCCTTTCGCTTTAGGCTTAGCGTAGTAGATACCCGCTAGCTGATATCGGCTAGATTGCTCTCTAGCGGTTATTTGATTCAACGATAGTCTACGGTATTGGTCTAGAGATGTTTCAGTCATGCTTACCCAGTGAACATTACCCCTCAGCTAGGGCACAGCGACATTGCAGGTGTTCATCAGTCTTTGTCTTGTCGATTGCTGCTTGTCCCAAATTCACGGAAACTAGTCGCCCGAATGGCGATTTTTCATGGGGTCATGGTTTGTCTTTCCGTCCCCAGCGTTCCAGCACTGGCAGTGCTGGGCAGCTATCATGCCGTCGATAAGACTTGTATTAATCACTAGAGAAAACTTGGCCGGAAGGTAGCAATCCCCGTACAGAAGTGCCTTTGGCACGTACGTCCAGGAACCCTATACTGCTAGGACTGCCATCTCGAGTTCATGAAAACTCACCTCAGACCCAAATTAGCAGTCCTCGAAAATCATATGATGAATCGGCCGATCTGAGCCTTGTTTGTGAAGTGTAACTGCTGCATGCACAGGAAGCAGCCATTTGTCCACTCTAATGATTCTAGAACCGACTCGACACGGAGATGGATACATACGATGGTATCACGTGCGTCAATGCGTGTGCCAAATCGGCACCTGGAGATTGCCAGCTAATATGATACGATGTATCCGTACAGCCGAGCGCTGTTCCCTGAGACTCGACTCTACCTGATGCCGGCGGACCTCGACGCCCGCATGCCGGGGCGGGCACTGAACACGCCCGTCGCCTCTCCACAGTCCGACCGCAGTGGCCCAGAAAGTCTCTTTTCCCCGCGTTTCTATCGTCACGCTGGCGGAGGCTTAGCTCGCTACATGACTACCAGATCCACAATCCACAAGCCCACGCTTTGAGTTCTCATTCTGCCATGTTGGACGAGGATAGGGATCCTTAACCATTTCTCGTTTCCCGAGCTTGATACCAGCCAGTGATTTAGTCACGCGCCCAGTGTGCAACAGCTATTATTACCGGGAGTCTGTCTCTCAGCGAGCCAGGTAACGCTGTATACTTTCAGCTTGCGTTTTCCTGTTTCCAATCACGGGCATGAGGTGGCTTGGTGCGCCGGAACCTTAATCACAAGGCGTTATGTGCCCATCGCTATGGCGGCTGTAGAGAGAGAGAACGGTGTTGAACATCAGATGATGTTTGATGAAGAGACAGTCGCGAAACTCAGATCAGAGCATGATCTCATGATCGAGAACCCTACCACCTCCGCCCTATATATTCTGTCATCATCACTCATCAATACAAGTCTTGGCCCGTCGTGAAAAGGACAAAGGACGCTTTCTTTACTATTATCGTCAAACCGACTGGTATATAACAGGATTATCGCTCGTTCACAGCCGCCAGAAGTTATTCGTAGCACAAGTCAAGACACAAGTAAGGACATTACTCGTCATGGCCACATCACTCTCGCTAACGAGCCGTCGCCAAGTCAATCGACAAGTTAGTATTGACTTGACCCGAAAACTTTCTCCGAAATATTCTTATTTCGACATGTCAGAAAGTCCTACCACTTCCGCGCGAAACCAAAGAGACCCGGGAAGCCCAACCATCACGGGTATTCCCTCCATCTTGACGGTCCTTCGTGAACCCGAATCCTTTTCCAACGACGATGACCGACGAGCGCAACAATACCGACATCAGTCTCCTGAGACCGCGTCCAAACTGGCGCGGGAGACATTGATCAGTATGTGCAAGACTATTGGTGTCGTCGGCGCACAACTGAACAGCAGCACAAACGATTCCGACTTCCAGCTCAGACAGCTTATCCACTTGGCACGCAATATATCCAAGAGACTGGACAATCATGATAGCAACGGATATGCAGGCCCTCCCCGCGTGGAGTAATCTTGATATTATTCGGAGAATTGGCATGCAAGCATCGACCAAAGGAAGGTATACTGTGGGGGATATTTGCATACTGGAAAGGCAACGGCGTTTTTTTTTTTTTTTTTTTTTTGTGGAAGCTCAGTGGGCAGCAAAGCTTCATCGGTGGATGGCATCAACCGTATACATCATTAGGTAGACTACAAAACCTGAGATTGTATACAAGTCACTTTCTCTACATTCTACAATTGGATGCTGGTCTGAATTTCAATGGAGTAAATGTAGACGTCGTGCTACGGCTCCTTGTCAAGCTTCATTCTTGGCCGACAACATATCTAGTACTCAATCGAGCAAAGCCCTTCCTAGTGACTTTATTCTCCCGCAAGCGTGAGAGGACATGCCAACCCCATTGAAATTTTGCTCGAAAATTTTCTTTGGGATATTGGCTTTTGAGAATAAACAACGAATATAATGTCGCTGTCGTGATGCCCTCAAAGGCATCACGCTTATGTGTGGGGCGGCCGGAATACGGCCGGGATTTCTCCGTTCCGGAGAAGTGGTTTTTCCGAACCGAACTTCGTCCCACTCGAAGAATCCATAGATCTTTCCTAACTCGAAAAGTGACTCTACGACATTCGCATAATCAATTGCCGAGGTGTTTCACTCCGTGACATGCTGACGTATGTCTCGACGTCAGTGTCTCGGCTGTCTCCATTGGACGAGATGGCCCTTCCAGAATTTTTATTTGTACTACCTGTCTCAACTGGCATTGAGTTGTATTTACAAGGCGTGCGGTCATCAGACCATACTCAACCGTCTCAAGATATCGAAAATGTTTTGCCGACTAACATCCGAACTTGAGCTTCACGTACTTAGAATCGCCACATGGACTGTCGAATCGATGGCCTATCAAACAGATCGCCGAATATGCGTCTCGCAAAAGCCATATTAACGAGATATTGAATTCCTCCCTAGGTTTTTTATTGTGGGAAGCAGCGACAAGCAACTGCGCCCTAATTCGGACACGGAAAGAATCACGGGAAGCTGACGGCCAAATGATAGGGAGGCGGGCGTCGCCAGGCTCATAGTCGTCGACGTTCCAGCTTTCTTTTTTCTTATCTTGTTTTGTGTCTGGCAGCCTTTCTGAAGATATCGAATACAGAGCATTGCCAGAGAGAATACGAACCGCTTATTGCTGCCCTCGACTAACAACTTCGTTTGAGCGATAGTGTTTTTGGGCATTTCCCCGGGGTTCAAAGCCCATCTGATCCATACCGCATGTCAAGGGATGATTTCAGATCATGAGAGGCTTGCACGGCACGGAATAGGTTGAGGCTCGGCTCTCCATCACATTTAGCTTAGCCGATTTAGGCTTAAGCTTTCCTGAAGAAGTGCAAATGCATGCAGTCTAGTAATGATTCTCTAGTTCTTACTTTCTGTTGAGGTTCAGTGTTGCCTATTTAATATGTATCATAATTGTCGGGTGCCTGGAGCGGGGCCCTAGGGGGGCACCAGAGTAGGACTAGGACTAAATAAACTAGTTACTAAAGGAATAACAAAAAAGGAAAACTCTATAAAAGATAGGGGTTAGAGAAGGCATATTAAAATAATTATTATAATTAAACCCTAACTACGCTTATTACTAACTTTTTTACTTAATACTATCCTTACTTTTAATACGTTTTAATATCTTTTTATCCTTAGGTATATTAACTACTAAAGTAGTAATAATACCTACTAGATCTTAAACTATAGCCTAGTAATAAGGGAGTATTATAATAAGATAACTAACGCCTAATATAACTAAGTTTATACTAGTAAATAAGTAGTATACTATTAACTTAAGTAAGCTATTAAAAAAAAAGCTAAAAGCTTTTTTAAAAAAAGAAGTAAAAAAAGTAAAAAAAAAAAATAATAATTAATTAAATTAAGGCCTTTTAAAGTAGTATATTTATAAAAGATATATAAAAAAAATAAAAATAACTACTAATCTCTAACTAAAGACTATATAACTTTATATTAATATACTTTTAAAAGGATTACTTACCTTAAGGTATAAAAAAAAAAGCTAAAATAAACTATAAGAATTTCTATTTTAGTTAGAAATACGTTTTAATATAATAAAAAATAAGTTTATAACTAATAATAATAAGGTAAAATATACTAGTGTTATACTAAAAAGTAACTTAGTATATAAATAAAGAAAGTATATAGGTTTTTATTATAAAAGTAAGATTAGTAAAATACCTTAAGAAGTTATAAAAGACTAGCTAAAAGTAGATATTACTAATAATAATATATAGGCTTTTAGTACTACTATAAAGCTAGACGTTATATAATAAGCCTTAGGCTAGTTATACTAATAATTTATTAATAAGTATAAGATAGTTAAAAAAAAGTGCTTTAACCTCTAAATAAAAAGGTAGTAAGTAGTCTATATCTTAAACTAGGTGCTTTTAGACCTAAGGACTTATATACTTACTAAAGGGCTACTAGCTACCTACTAGAAGTTAGATAATATAGTAAAAAAGGTAAAAATACTTACTAAGACCTATATAAAAGAGGTGTTAAGAAGATAGCTAAGGTAAAGTTAAAAAAAGAAAAGCTACTAAGGGGTAGTAGTATAACTAATAACTATAAATACCTTTTTAACTAAAGCTACTAGTATATACTTAATACTAATAGCTATAATACTAGTAAGTATACCTATATTAAAGCTAAGAGTTAAAAAAAAAAAAAAGTATAACACCTTAGCTAGAGAAGACCTAAGGACTACTTACTTATTATAACTATAAAAAGCCTAGGTACTAGTTAACTAAGTGTAATAAAAAGAAGTGTTATAAGTATAAATAACTATAATACTTAAGGAGATAGTATACCTTAGTACTAATAAGGGTTAATAGTATTAAGCTCCCTTAGGATAAAAGACTATACTACTACTTTAAAGTAGATTTTTATACTAAAATAAGTAGTATATAAAAAAAAAAGTATTAATTAATCTTAATATAAATAAAAATATACTATACTAAAAGATATTATATATAGAGGTACTAGTAGAGGTAAGCTAGAGGGGCCTAGCGCTTTAAGGTATATAAGGAGGTAAGGCCTTAGACTATAAAATAAAGAGGGTAGTAATAGAAGTTATAGATAATATAAAGGTCTTAAAGACATAAAGCTATACCTTTTAAGTTAGTAATATAGCTAGGTATAATATTATTTTAAGGATCCCCTAAGGATAAGTAGTATAACTAAATATAAAGTAAATAATAATTAGTTAGATATACTTATTAAGAAAAGACTACCTCTAACTTATCTAAAGTAAGTAAGAAATTAAAAAGGTATATAAGAAGTTAAGGGCTATTCTAGCCTATTAACTAATAATCTACTACTTATAATATAAGGAGGATAAAAAAGCACTAAAAATACCTTATTATAACTAAGGAGAAAAGGTAGAGGCTAAATAAGATAAAGGAATAAAGGCTACCTTACTAAAGGCTTATAAGGAATAAGTATATATATTTAATATAAGCCTAGTAGCCTAGCTAGTAAGTAATAAGGGCTACTTATATATAATTAATTTAAAGCTAAAGGTAGAAGTGCTATTTAGCCTTATCTACTTATTAGCTAAGAAAAAAGTAAAGGAATTAAGAATATATATTAATAAGTTACTTAAGAAAGGCTAAATTAAACACTTTATAAGCCTAGTAGGGGTATTAATCCTCTTTATTCTTAAAAAAGGAGGTAAGCTATATCTTTATATAGACTATAGGGGGCTTAATAAAGTAACTATTAAGAATTATATACTACTACTTTTTATTAGTAAAATCCTTAACTATTTAGTAAAAGTAAAGTAGTATATAAAGCTAGACCTAAAAGATATATATTACTAGGTAAGGATTAAAGTAAGTAATAAATAAAAAATAGCCTTTTATACTTACTATAAATACTTTAAATATTATATTATACTATTTAGGCTAGTTAATATACTAGTAATATTTTAGGTATATATTAATAATACCCTTACTAAGCTAGTAAATATTATATATATTATTTACTTAAATAATATCTTAATCTTTATAAAGGATAAAGAAAGTTATATAAAAGTAGTTAAGTAGGTACTAAGCTAGTTAGACACTATAGGGCTATATATAAACCTTAAGAAGTATGTTTTTTACACCTAGTCTATTAGGTTCTTAGGTTTTATAATATCTAATAAAAAGATTACTATAAAGTATAAGTAAGTATAAGTAATAGTAAAGTAGCTACTCCCTACTAGTATTAAGGAGATCTAGGTTTTCTTAAGGTTTATAAGATTCTACTAGTAATTTATTAAAAACTACTTTAAGGTATATACACCTTTAATAAATAGGCTAATATCTAAGGTAGTAAGAAAGTAAGTAATAATATAAGAAGTAAAGAAGGCTTTTTATAAGCTTTATACTTTATTTACTTAGGCCTTAATCCTTTAGTATTTTAACCTTAAGTTACTTATATAAGTTAAAATAGATATATCTAACTTTATAATTAGTATAGTAATATACTAACTTTATAAGGGAGTATAGTACTTAGTAGCTTTTATATTATAAAAGCTATAAAAAGTAAAACTTTATTATAAGACACTAAAAGTAAAGCTACTTATAATCTATAAGGTAGTAATTTACTAAAGACACTACTTACTATATATATAATATTAAATAATATTCCTAATAGACTATTTAAGGTATTACTACCTAGCTACTAAGCCCTAACTTAATAGTTATTAGGCCTAGCTACTATAAAATCTATTATTATTTAACTTTAAGATTAAATACTAGCCTAAAAAGGATAATATAGTAAATAAGCTTTTATAATAGCTAGACTACTAGCCTACTAAAAAGAAGGAAAAAGAAGTATATAGCACGTTCTTAGTAGATTTCTTTAGTAAATTTAGAAAATAGTTTATAATATTTAGACGTAGTAAGTCACTAGGTCTTAAGTTACTAGACTAAAAATAGCTTACTACTAACTTAAAAAATAAGATT